AAATTTTAAATATTGAAAATTTAGTTGTTTATTTATTTGTAAAATAATTGTAAACAAATTGTAAATATTAATCGTTTATTTATTTGTAACATAATTGTAAAAATTCTAAACAAATTGCAAATATTGTAAATATTAATTGTTTATCTATTTGTGAAATAATTATAAATATTGCAAAAAATGTATATTTAATTATTTATTTATTTGTCAAATAATTGTAAATATTGTAAAAAAATGTAAATATTATTCAATTATCAGCAAAACTATTACACATACGTCTAATTGTCATTTAGGAAAATTTTATTTGTACAAAATTGGCTAGTATGCCCTGTTGCTCTGCACCTACTACACCTATGCGGTCGATGAAACTCTCCGATAGATGATATTTTAGACGTATGTGGACGTCCAGACCACGCGATTCAAATTCAGGTGGCAACAAACTATTACGTGGGAGAATATGGTAGAGAACTTCACACTCGACTTCATTCGGTAGAGGAAATATAGTCTTAGCGTATGTTGTTATCCAATAATCAGTCGTGTAATAAGGAGCGCATAAGGTTCTCGCTACAAAACCTCTATACATAGCCACAACGACTATATGCTCACATGAAAACTCTCCAAATAAAATTGACTACAAGTGCAGGTGTTATCAGTTAAGTCCACAATGTATGTCATATTACGTGCACATTTCATGAAGAAGCGCAATTTATCCAGTAGCTCCACATTTAACTTTCCCACAACCTCTTCAGTTTTGAAGAGTTTATCCTCCTGAACCTGGGTTAATACGCTCGTGCTACTCTGTGATTCTGCACGTCGGTCGTGAAGCCATTGTTGCAGCTTGTTACAAATGTTCTCAATTATTGTAAAGATTGGTAACTCTCGATCATTTTTGCATAATGTATTGAGAGATTTCGCATTATTTGACGTCATCATGTTGTATCGACGCCCTGAAAAATATGATCGCGTCGAATGTTCAATTCCCATTTTTGTCAAATACTCCTATGCTGAGAATGATTTAGTCCATATTTTTACCATAAATTTATTATAGTCTTCAATACTGTAAGTTTCTGCCACTTTCCTGAACAACGAAACGATGCATTTGCCATGATACTTAGTCTTCAGGTTGTCTTGTATATGGTACATGTAATACCCATGATGTGCCCAGGAAAAATTTCAGCGATACCATTTATTATAGATGGTTCCCAACAGTTACAAAGGCAAGGTCTTCGACTTCCCCGATTACTTCCCTCAATTTTGTGAAGACCAACGCATTGAGAGATCATTCTCGCAATCTACTATGCCAAATGTAAGAGAGTAAATTTGGATATTGCAATTTTGACACGTAGTAATAATTAACTTGCTTTCGTATCTAGCTTTTAGAGTTTTACCACCGCATTTCGAAATCCTCGAATGCATTCTCCAAGAGCTATGAAGCAAAATTTAAAGCAACTCTCACCTCGTCTCAGTAAAATATGTAGAGCCGGATTAGTCGTACCCATGTTATGGCAATACCTGGCCAATTTAGCATAGCTCTCATCGACAGAGCCCATTAAATCCTCCAACGCGCATTTTTTGGCTTTTCGAACTTTCGGTAGCTTATGACCTCTCCATACTTTCGACGGACGTCATCAATGATGTTAGAATTCTGTATATCGTCCTATTTGTCGACCAATAAACCATGCACGGGCTTGCCCAAACATTTCGACGAATTTCCACTTCGCAAGTATGTCCTCGTGTAAACTTGCGAACTACAAAAACTCATTCATGTTCATCTTTGTCGCTCGTAAACGCCAACGAAAACTGTCATCAATGCAGACAATCCTTAGCAATAACTTATTTGATTTCTTCACTTTGAACTCAAAGTTGTATTTCAGTGCAATTTGGTGCGCACTTCCTGTAAATCTTTCTTTGTCTTAAATAGATGCTCGACATACAAATCCTCATCATCAGGAACCACTCGCAAAGAATTATATGACGGTTTACTCGATCTAGCCCTTACGTTCCGCTCCACTCATGTCTATGATGGAATAAAGCAATCGAATTATCATTTGTAAATTCATTATTATTCTCGTTGTTGTGAACTACAGTCGGAATTCTCTGTGTAAGAGCGATGTCACTATGAGGAACAACTGTATCGAGAATAACCATATCATTCTCACGAGTTGTCTCCATCGTGTTTTAAAAAAATCATGGCATTCTGATCCCCTTAATCCAAATTTTTATACTCACTTTCGATGACATTCTTCCTTACTAAAGTCACGCCAGAGGAGTTGTGCACATTTTGTTCAGTTTGAATAGATAATTTACTTCAGTATCAAAAGTAACCTTCATATGTAGAACCAGAATGGATGAATGCTCATTGAATTGAAATTTCAGTTCCACATCGTACTGCGAGAAATCGACTTTCAGCTTGTTTTGTAAATTATGATACATTTTCGCATATGATGTGGTCGATATTATGGGAATTGAAATACCACCACGTATATCACTCGTCTATTTCCATACTCATCGATCTTTTTTGTCCAATTCGAAATCACCAAAGTAACAAATTAGAATCACAACCATATTTGCTTGACGAAACAGAATTTTTAATTATAAAAAAATCGAAAAATCAGCCAAACCACTAGATCGTTAGAATTAAAAAATATATATTTTAACAGCTGACAATTAGGCCGTAATAGTCGGCCGCTATGACCTTAATATGCAGATGAATTTTTTTTTGTCTATACTTAAAAAAATTATTTAGATGTTAATCTATGTCGAAATAAGATTTATCGATTAAAAATAAATACTAATTTATCGAAAACGAAATTAATCATACATAAATATACTTACCGATTCAAAGTTATAGACGTAAAAAAAAAATATTTTCAGCGTTTGATCAATTTTCAGCAAATGAAAAATGAGAGAGTTTTTATCTGTATTGAACTAAAAATGTTAGTTGATTTAGAAATTTTAGGTAAAAAATATTTGGTTTTTACTTTTTAACTAAAATGATAGTATTGTAGTTTAGATAAAAGCTTGTTTTTGTAATTGTATTGTTTAATTAAGGAAATTTTATCTTTTAAAATTCAAAAGACCGTTGTAAAAATATGCAATCATTACAAAATTCAAAGTGAAAATTAGGAATTTGATCGGGCCAAATTTGAAAGTACCCCACCCTATAGTCTGTCCTCAGTACCCACCCTATAGTCTGTCCTCAGTCTAACTTTTTTTATGAAAAATTCCGTAATTTTCATTTGAGTTCGCTTTGAATCCGTCACAAAAGGGCACACTTCGAATTACAAAAACAATATCCTGTTCTTCTTCCCTCCCATGTCGTTTTCTGGAATTCAAGGACAACTAATCGAAATCACAGGTACTTTATCTTTTTAATTTTAGTTTCTTGTGAAATTATGTGTTAATTCTTTGATAAATTTGTAATTTTTTTATTCTAAATTCTGGATTACAGTTGTTGGTTGTACCAAATTGAAAGACACGGAATGGATTTCAAGGCAAGATCCCTACGTTTGTCTCGAATATGCTAGCACCAAATACCGTACGCGTACCTGTACAGGTATGTTATACGTATATATGCAATATACCTGTTTTTAATTGAATTCTTTTGGTGGTTTCTTCATCAAAATATGGGTTTTGATATTTGATTATTTTTCGGGTGAAATTTGTAAAGATGGTGGGAAAAACCCTACGTTTCAAGAGAAATTCGTGTTTACGTTGATAGAAGGGTTGCCAGAGTTGAACGTTATCGTCTGGAATAGCAATACTTTAACTTATGATGATTTCATTGGCAGTGGAAAGTAATTATCTCGGACTCTTCGAATTTAATTCATGACTGAATTTCGTTCTTTGTTTATTTTTTTAAAAAGATTTGCTCTGGTATGCTGATTCTTGATATTTGATTTGGTGTTTCTAGGGTTCAATTGCACAAACTTATATCTCAGGGTTACGATGACAACTCGTGGCCTCTTCAGGACAAGAAGGGCAGGTAATAATTTGCTAAACTGAACTACATATTAATTTTGTAGATGGCATTATGTGTTTGCTATGTATGTTCAGATATTTTTTTCCATTTTGTGTTTCAAGAATAGCGATTTATACAGTTCTATAATTTAGGGATTCCTTCAGAACTACTATGGACTTCTATTTTATGATTATTGAGCCGAATCATCACATTGTTCCTTTTAAATATCCTCACATGAAACTTTATATACTAGATCATCACAGACGCAAACTGCAAATATTCATCACGCATGGTAGAGCCATTGTTTTTCTATTCAAAGGTTTAGAGGGATTCAATTTTAACAAATTAAAATTTGGGTAGCCTATGTTGGATGGGCATAGGTCTAACTCTCACTGAAAGTTCTTCTTGTTATACTCAGTCTCATGCAGTCTATTCATGTGAAAGGAAAACCACCATTGTATTTTGAGGAGAACAAAAGATAATTTTAAATGAATTTAACATATTGTGTCGATGATTCTTGGAAGCAGGAGTAAAATTTGTGTGCTTAGTTTGGAAAGGAGAAAGGATGACATTGGTTTAAAATGGCTGAAGTATATGTATATGTTGCAACCCCTGGGAAGTGAATATTTTCACTGGCTGGTGAATTCTGATGGTAATTGGGGGGAAGGAACCTAACAGATGTCATGGAAGAAAAATGACAATTTAGAATGAACATTTATCACATCAATGATTTTGGGACATTATGTACCTTTATTTTGAAAAGAAATGAGAAGGAAAGGAAGGGATCACTTTAAAATGGTCGGATTAAGTATTTCTATATATTTCTGTTCCACTAAAGGGAGTTTCAGTGATTTACTTAGTCCTTGATCATGAAACTAGAGAAGCTAGTTTGCCACGGTATATATTTGCCTCCATTTCTCGTGCAAGATCGATGGATTGACTTTCAATTGCTCATTCTGCATAGCATGTCCAAAAACTTTACATATGGGTGTTCATTATTTAGAAGGTACATAGCATGAAGAGATCAAGTGGACACTTTCCAGGAAATTAGCTTTTCAATTATGTGCGCTGTCACCTAACTTCACCTAGGTGCCCTTAAAGAGGAGCATTTCCTAGTGGGCTATTTTATTTTCAGTGAATTTTTTATTCTTGATATCCAATAACGTTTAATGTGATGGCCTGTCCTTGAAAAAAAAATGTAAATTGACACATCATGTTAATAGAGCAAATTGCTGATTGAATAGTATTTGCTCTTGCCACTTGTAACTTAATAATGATAGAACTTTGAAATTGCCGGAGTTTTTTAATTAAAATTTAGATATTTGATGTGTCCTTTCATCATCTACAGACATTCTGGCGAAGTTCGACTGATAATGCACTATTCTAATGCAAATGTAAGTTCGTTTCTTCTCTCTTCTTTTAATTTTCGAAAATCTTATTTTCCCACTCTGAATAAATTCCACAGCTTCTAACCACTATTATGTTTTAACTATTTGTTACTAATGAATAATTCTTCATCTGAAATATTTTAGAAGCCAGCATTGAGCTATGCTCCTTCAGCTCCACAGTTTGGGGCCTCACCGGTACCTCAGGCCCTTCCCTTTTCTGCACCTCCATCAACCATTTCATCATACAATCCATCTGCAAATAGCTACTCGGCACCATCTCCTTATCCTTCATATCCTCCTACCTCAGCAGGATACCCTCCTCTGCCTTATCATTCTCAGCCGGCTACTCATCAACCATCTTACCCTCCAATTTCTGGTTATCCTCCATCACCATATCCGCCACCACCTCAGAACCCGCACTATTACCCTCCAGGTAAAATCCTTTTCATTTATAGCTCTTTTTTTTTTCATATAATATACTCTGATCAAAAGACTTATTCTTACTTACTCCTTCGTAACAGGTTCATATCCACCACCACCATATCCTCCACCGCCCTATTGACGCAGAATAATTCCAGTGAAGATAGAGCGTCAATCAGTTAATGCTAGTTATCTAGTGTATTTCATATTAGACAAGCCTTCTTTGTTTGGAAATTTTTATGTTGCTAAACTGTATTCTATCATTGGTTGAATGTTGTATATACCTTTTGAAAGGCTGATATTGTTTGTTGTAATTTTGTTGGGTAAAACAGTTGCATGATGAAAGGTGAAGGGGGAATGATTATGCATGAGTGGATATGTCACATGAGGTTGAATAATTGTAAATCATAAGATGAATAGACCTTTCAACAGTTGCCACTACTTTGTTTGACTAAATACTAATATGGTCAGCACCTTCAGCACTTGAGACTGCTTCCCTTTCGGCGTTCCACTGCCACTTAATATTATTTCTCAATTGCAACACCAGTTGGCGAACCAACTTGCTGTATACCTGGACGTGACCTTTTATTCACTGTCACTCGGAGAATTCACTTGGCACGATTGTGTCAAGTGAATCTACAGGATCGATGTGCTCGTTGAATTGATCCATATGTGTTGTGGGTTCTTATACCACGACTCATACTAGATTGTACCTTGCCTAAAGTGTGTCTAGCGATCCAATTGTATCTTAAACTACTTGTGATAGGCTTGCTTTGTGGACTTGTGAACACTCTTTACAGGTTGATTTTAAACGTGGGTTCTATTCGAAGTAGTTGTTAGAGTTTGTCGGCCATCTGGACGGGATGACAACATACTTTGGCACCCTATTAGAGTAAATTTTTTAACACACACAATCAGATGACTTGTAGCATTTTCAAGATGTGATCCATTTACATCAATTGAATTGAATGCTAATAAGTTTGCTTGAAATATTTGATGTAATGCGGCAATTGTAGACAAGAATGGGAAAGTGGATGAGAAATGATTTGAGAATCTGAGTGTGTCTTCTACGCAGGTAACCTAACGTTGAACTCGAAACAGAGATTGTGGGCCGCTTTTGACTTTAATAAGAATCATTAAAGGACTGTTACTAGCGTTGTAATTAGGTGGTTAATTATGGATTAACTGGTAACAACTGTGTTTTAACTTTTAATGCTATATAATGATTTAAGTCTTTCTTTAGTTAGTTGGATGAGTTGACTATGAGCTTAGTGAAATTTATATGTAAAAATATATAAAGAAACCATAATCACATATTAACTTACTAGTTGATTAATCATCATGGTTCTGTTGCCCATTGACCAACGTCGAAGATATAATTTGTAAATCAAAGGTTCTTATTGGTCGAGTAAGGGAAGGGATTGAGTTAGTGTTCAGTTTACCAAATTCAAGGTATCTGTCCGTGCATCGTCCTTTTCGAACTGTTCGGCAGATTCCCACATGTTACTCCCCATTCCCGGAGGCTTTCGGCATTACAACATTGAATTATGCTAGTGATATATCACCACTAACATAAGGGTGTCCATAATGGACACACGACGCCCCCTCATTGGAGGGAGTGCCGACCCCACCGACCCTCCCTCTAATGATGTAGCGCCGGGTGTCCATTATGGATACTCCGATGTTAGTGGTGATGTACCACTAGCATCACTCTACAACATTTCACAACTTCATCGAAAAATATGTTGTGGCACAGCCACATAGCCTGATGATGATTGTCAATCTAGATTAGTAACATTCTTAAAGGTATATTTTTTTAATAGCATTATTCATTAGTACAGTTTACATTTAAATGATAATCGAATGGTTATCTTAATTGTCATGTAAAGTGTAAAATTTAAGATAATTAATTAATTAATTTCAAGCAGGGGAAATTGGGTTAGATTTTCAACTTTCACGTGACATAGTTATGAGTATATAACATTTAAATTAAAAATTTGAGTCCCAGTTTGGTAGGGATTAAAATCAAATTTTTAACAAATTTTAATAAAAAAGTTGATGAAATATGTGGTTGAAAAATTGTGCGTTCCATAAAATATGTTATTAAAATTAATTTTTAATTTTGACTTAGCCTATGTTTAGCCGCATTTTCTCAAAAACTCATTTTTTTTTCAAAACTCATTTTCAATTACATTCTTCCACAAAATAATATTACACATGTAAATCGAAAATTTTGCTAGATACCTTTAACAGATTTTTTGACATAATTTGAAGTAGTCTATGTTTTAAATAGTCTAATGATATTGTATCACGTGACATCATGTCAAATTTTATGTCTAAAAATCTTTAAGAGCCCGTTTGGTAGAGATTAAAATCGGATTAAAATTAAAAAACTAATCGTTATTGTTGACTTTTATTAGACAAGTGAGACCCAATAACGGTTATATTTTCAATTTTAATTGAATTTTAATCGGTACCAAACATGTATCAAATATTTCGGGACTAAAAAACTTACTGTTACTCGTTGAAAATAGATGACTACACTACCTAAAAAGTTAAGACACCATCACTAATTTACCCTTTTTTTAAGTGTCAGACCAAAAGAAGACACCTTTGCCAAAGTCCAATTGTCCCACAAAAGTTTTTGTACCTTGTTTTTAACCAAGTAAGAAGTAAAACCAGTCCATTATTGACCACAACCCATACTTTTTACGTAAGGAAGAAGATACTCAATTGTTGTCTTGCTTGGATTTTGTTGTGGGTAGTTAAACAACTCAAGATGATATGTTTTATTAATAATGAATAAATATACTTCAAACTTATAAAATTAAAAAATTACCTCATTCAAAGACTAGTAGAACAACGTAAAAATTTAAAAATTATGTTTCATGTAATCTAGTCATACTTCTCGCAATCAAGGAAGGAATCAGTACTCAACGATCCCTGTGGTCGCCCGTTCTGACTCTGTCGGAAATTTTTTTTCCTTGCATTATGCTCACATGAATTTCTGAATCCGCTAGTGCTTGTGATCATACTGGAGTGTATTTAGGATACGTGGTATATTTCAGACTCGCCATTTGAAGGGAATAGAGTAGAATAAAATTATCGAACTTCAAGTTTGAGAAGTCTCACATGTTCATATTCAAAATATATGAAAAAGGGTTCATTATGCGTCTATATCCAATCTCATATTACCAAAATCACTATCAATTAATTGTTTATCCGAATTTTTGTGCACTTGCTCCAATAATGCCCTAAATCCATCATCGACGTGTTGCTCAAATACACAAGCTTCTAAAATATCTTTATTGTAGACTTGGTTGATCGAGCTTAGTCCTGATTGACACTCAAACATCCATTAACAACATTTTTAATTAAGTCTTCCATAGCTTGCTTGGACTTACAAGCATATTTGGATTGAAGAGTTGGTGCGCTCATACCATCGTAAAACACGTTATTTAGACATTGTTTGATCTACATTAAAATTTTCGTTCTCATTCATCTACTCATTTTCAACCACATATTCTTCAATAAAATAATATTTTTTATCAAATCAATAACTTTTTCCTTCTTTTTCAACCACACATTCTCTATCAATCTACTATTTCAAAATACATTCTTCCAAAATAATGTAACTCAAACACATCCCCTTACATGTGGTAAAATTAAAATTGTCGAAAATAATGTCGATATATTTGTGGTGAAATATGTCTCGAAAGATAAATAATTTGTAGTTGAGTAATATCTTGTGCAGTGTGTGTCGATACATTTTTCGGGGCCCTACTTGGTGTCAGTGTGTGTGCCGTTACGGTTTTTGCCCGCCAAGAAAAACACACAGAGTCCTGTACATATTTAAAGTAAAAAAACCAAGAAAATTGTCAATATATACATGTAATATTACTACAAAAATCTCAAAGCATAAAGAAAGGACAAGCGCGAAACACGATCCGATGAAATTTCTTCCTCCATCTCTCTGTTTTTGAGAACTGAGTTCTTCAGTCCCAATCAGATTCAGAGAGAGAGAGAGACACGCACAGAAAAATAGTCATATTGAGACAGAGGTTGAAAAATGAAAATGGGATTTGGGTTTCTTATTATTTTCTGTTTGTAGAATGAACAGAGAAGATGGCCAAGGAGCAATATCTGGATTCCGGTTCTTCTTTGTCTGATGCTCTTTACTGTGAAGAAGAAGGAAAATGGGGTGAAGTTGAAGAAGCAGAAGAAAAAGAGAGTGAAATTATTTTCAATAATCATTTTAATGGCAAAATTTTTTATGTTTTCTCGGGGCTGTTAATGGAACAAGATCTGTTCTGGGATGATGATGAACTTCAATCTCTGTTTTGCAAAGAAAAGGAAACCTTCTCTGAATCAACAAATATTGTTGAAATCGAATTTTCTCCGTGTCTTGCTCGAAAACAGGCTGTGGAATGGATCTTGAAAGTGAATGCTCATTATAGATTTTCAGCATTAACTGCAATTCTTGCAGTTAATTATCTTGACAGGTTTCTTTACAGCCTTCATTTTCAGAAAGATAAGCCATGGATGATTCAACTTGCAGCTGTTACTTGTCTTTCTTTGGCTGCAAAGGTCGAAGAAACCCATGTTCCTCTCCTCTTAGACCTTCAAGTATGTTCCCAACTCTCCATTACGGTCTAGTACTGCATATCAAACACACACTTGGAGATCTTCTTTTGCATTTTTTATTATTTTTATTTTTTTTGGTTTTGAATTTGTTCATCTTGATCAACAGGTGGAGAATACAAATTATATGTTCGAGCCGAAAACTATTCGAAGAATGGAACTTTTAGTGCTTTCTGCACTCAAATGGAGGATGAATCCAGTGACCCCTCTTTCATTTCTTGATCATATGATAAGAAGGCTTGGCTTAAAATCCTATATTCACTTAGAATTTCTAAGGAAATGTGAAAATTTCCTCCTCTCTATTCTGCCTGGTAAGCACACAAGTTCCACATATATAATCAATTATTACAACATTTTTCTATTACAAAATAATTTACGTTTGATTTGGTGACTGTTCAGATTCAAGATTCGCACGTTATTTGCCTTCCGTTGTAGCTACTGCAACCATGCTTCGCGTTATCCATCAAGTTGAACCTTGCACTGCCGTTGACTATAAAAACCAGCTTCTTGGGATTCTCAAAATAAACATGGTTCGTATTTTTCGTCTTTTAATGATGCCCTTTTTGTTATTATTATTATTTTTTTCCTTTTATGGTCTTGTTTTAAATTTTTGAGCAAAATTTTTTTTTCTCCACAGGAGCAAGTGAATGATTGCAGTGAGCTTATGTCAGAGACATCAAAGACTGGTTCAGGCAGATTTTGTGAAGTTCCTAGCAGTCCAAATGGTGTAATGGATGGATTATTCTTGAGTTCCGATAGCTCAAACGATTCGTGGGAAGTGACATCGTGCATTTCTTCTTCGTGGTCGTCGAGTCATCGGCCACTGTTGAAGAAAAGAAGGGTTGAAGAACAGCAAATGAAACTGCCATCACTGAGCAGAGTTTTTGTCGATGCTGCTGGGAGCCCTAATTAATTACTATCTGAGGAAGCTTAATATCTATATTATTTTGATTATTTTTGTATTAAATTTGCTTTCATTCCGCGTAAGAATAGAAGAAAAAATAAGAGAGTTGGTATTGGCAGATAGAGCTGGCAGTTTACGGAAAGGGAGAAGCAAATGCAACGAAGAATATCCACTCTATGTATTTATTTATATGGATAAATATGAATTATTATAAATTAATTCGCACTTATGTTTAATTACACAATTTACAAGTCCTTGTTTGATTTAGCTAAAAAAATCTATCAAAATGTATTAAAAATTCTAATTTTCAACAAAACCAAAGAAAGCTTAGCTCTTAAGATCAGATTTTAAGCAGATATTGAAAAGTCGATGAAACGTGTGATTGAAAAAATTGTGAATCCTATAAAATATATAATTAAAATTAATTGTTAATTTTAACTTATACAAAATTGGGACGTAATCTTGTCTTAGATTATTTTTAGTTCTTTCAAATCTAAAATCCTTCGAGGCTTTGACTGCAAAAGAGAAAAGGAGCGGTTTGGTTTGCATGTGAAGGGAAAAAATAGTTGTTGTCGGCCATTGGGTTTGACATTGACCTCATGGCGATAGTCATGCACGTTTTGGTAAAGATTTTTGTACGAATACTCTTTATATATGAATTTCTTTACAAAAACAAATAGTTTGGTGCACATTTTGAAGGTAAGAATGTATTTTTATTGTTGATAAATCTATCAAAATGTATTAAAAATTATAATTTTCAGCAAAACCAAAGAAAGCTTAGCTCTTAACATCAGATTTTAAGCAGATATTGAAAAGTCGATGAAACGTGTGATTGAAAAAATTGTGAATCCTATAAAATATATAATTAAAATTAATTGTTAATTTTAACTTGTACAAAATTGGGACGTAATCTTGTCTTAGATTATTTTTAGTTCTTTCAAATCTAAAATCCTTCGAGGATTTGACTGCAAAAGAGAAAAGGAGCGGTTTGGTTTGCATGTGAAGGGAAAAAATAGTTGTTGTCGGCCATTGGGTTTGACATTGACCTCATGGCGATAGTCATGCATGTTTTGGTAAAGATTTTTGTACGAATACTCTTTATATATGAGTTTATTTTTTAAGTAAAAAATTATATTTTTGAAGAATGTGTAATTAAAAAAAATGTTTAGTTACAAAATTATTTTACTGAAAAAATAAAAGAGTCTGAAAAAAAAAATGAATTTTAAAAAATGTCAATACGTATAAAAAATGTGATGATTATAAATCATATTATTTGTCGTTACGAAAGATCATCATCTATTTATGTAGGGGTGGGTTAATGTCACGTTGTCTAATAGTAAAAAATAGATCTTAACTTTATTAAACAATGCCATCGTAGCATCTATGCTATATAGATTGATTACTATTGTCGATGCATTCCTCATTGACTAATTTACGTGCATTTTTTATAATACTTACCGCAGTCGTACAAACTCATGTTATTCATTATAATTGGTGATGACCAATTAACAACATGAACATACACGGGAACATGGTCCATGACATGGTTTTATACAGATATATACATTTGACAATTAAATAAATGAAGGAAAAACTGTCATTTCAGCACCGAAAATAGCCCGTCATTGACTCTGTACAACCAATTTAATCCCTATTAACAGTGGTATATATGCCAATGATAATGTTTGTCACACTATTCAATTAAATTATATATATTTTTATTTTAGTCAATTGATTTTACTAGGAGCAGTCTTGCTTATAAGTTCACACTATTCAATTAAATTGATTTTCTAGAATCTTCCATAACTGATGCAAATGTAGTCTACAGATGTAAAGATTTTTTGTGAGACAAGAAGTCCTTTGTTGACGCACCGTGTTCGTTGTTAGTAGGGTAGTAGTTGATTAGGAGTTAGGACAATTGCTATTTTGTCAATTCTTATATTTCTCAATGGTTTACTTTTTTGGAGAAATCAATTGTCGATCAAGTCCCACAAAGTAATTGAGTCGCCTAAGTGGTTGATTAAATGATTTGTACGAACTTAACTCAAGATGATGGTTTTCTCGATCAATTTATTTGTCAAGTCAAAGTTAATAAGTTGTTCGTGTTTACTCCGATTGAAAATAGTTGATCGATAAAGTATTCAAGCGACATGATCAATGTGGCTTAAGTTGACTGATCGACAGATATTCTTTTGATTAGTATAGACATATGAGAGTGTTTTACCTCGTCCATATACTTAAACATGTAATTTCTTCAATTAATTTATCTCACGCGTTTGATTAGAAGCACACATATATTGAAAGTCTCTATTCGGAATGAGTCGAGACGAAACGCAAGGTTGAGAAAATTGATCATAACAAAAATCCAAGTTAATGGTTACTAAATTATGTACTTATTGAAAAGAAAGAGTAAACAAAAAAAAATAAAAAATTGGGCCATGAATTTGGATGGAGAACTCCATAACTAATGAAAAGTTGACAGTGATGCATTTGAATTTGGGAGACAAAATCTTTGAATTTGTGGAAAGATCAAACGTGTGTCTCTTTCCTAAACCTGTTGCTTTGTCTTGAGGTAAGTAGAGAATTGTAGCATCGGTCCCTAATCTTTTCAATTTTTGTAGACTTTTATTACTAACTTTCAATTTGTGCCCGCAGTAGTCCATATCCTTTCAAAAATATGTATATGAAGTCCAAATGGATGGAATTCATTTACTTTTCCGTTAGTTGACAAAAAAAAAAAGTGGACTTTGACCAATTTTTTTAAAAAATGGGGGTAAATTGGTAATTTTAGAATTATCACATTAAATAAATAAACAACAAAATCATAAAAATCATAAAAAAAAAGAAAAACAAATGGAGTTATTTCCTTCAAACCTCCACCTCCACCTCCACCCCCCGACCCCAACCCCTACGCCCATCCCCTTTTCCTCAGCCATCGCAACAACTGTACCACCGTCGATCGACCAGCTACAGCCACATCCACCCATCTCACACGGTGGCAAAGCAAATGGAGGCGAACGGATTTGGTTAGGTATGTCTGCCGAAGACGCAACTATGGCATATGATGCAGATTCTTGATTTGGATTCTGGTTGCTCAAACAAGGTCTATATAATATCTCATTTAAACGAACAATGGAGTTAATCTACACGAACTTGCGAGAATTAATATGTTTTCAAAAAGAAGCACAAATGAAATTGGAAAATTTAGGTCCGTTTGGTTTGTATTTTAATTTTGAGGATTTGTTTTAAAATTTCTAAAAACACGTTTGATTTGTTATTTTAAAAAATTATTTATCAAAATAGAAAACTAGAAAACACGTTTGGATTGAGATTTTGAAAAATTATTTTATGACATTTTATTCAATGAAATTTGATTTTTTAATAAAAATAAAATAATTTTATGTTAATATATCATCATGTAATATTACATTTTAAAGATTGTGAGTTTTACAATATTTTTTCTGCCTATAAAAATAAAATTAAAAATAAATTGAGTTTAGATTATATGAAGTAAAATTAGAAATTAACGATGTAGAACGAGAATATTTTTATCTGTGTTCACTTAAATAGTTTTTTTATAATTTTTGTGTAGATGATCATTAAGAGTTTGAACTATTTGTTATTTTTATTTTTTAGAAATTTTAATAATTTTATTTTGAATTTTATTGAATTTTATTTTTTTTATATTTTATTTTGTTAGAATTTTATATTTTTGTTTTAAAATTTTTACTTAAACAAAATTTTATTCAAACATTTGTTTTTCATGTCTTAGATATTTTCAGAATTTTCACTGAAAATATTTAAAACGTCAAAAATGCGTTTTGAGTTTTATGTTATAAGTTTGTCCTTATTTTCGAAAATGCATCTTTAAAAATACCATACCAACCCATTTTCAGTATTTTGCAAAACTAAAAACTGAAAACAACAAACAAAACACACCCTTACATTTTACAATTGATTTATTAAAGTACCTAACTAAAAATTTTCAGTTTTGATACAGTTCGGCTTGGAATTTTATATCAAAAATTGGTTTTGAAAAATTTTAATTGATTATTTAAGCGAAAATCATTATTTGGTGAATGAGAAATTAAGTTGTTTAAATATGTGAATTATTGAAAAATTATGTAGAATATTATGAAAAATTTTGTAATCCTTTGGCTAAAAGGCGTGTCTTTCCCTTTTCATATCAAATATCTTGACTTTTGAAATTAGTATTTTTCTCTCTTTATGTATAGAAATTAGTTCTCATAATTGTGTCCTTTTTTTAGGTTTTGTCTTTTGAGACAAATCTTGTCAACTATATATAGACCTCGTATGTATTGAATTTTATTCTTTCATTTATCTTCAGCATTGCACTATCACATAATGTACATTCACTTCAAATAATTTCTGCATTTATTTTGAGTCGGGCTTAATGTAAAGAGTTCAAAATACTGGTAAGGTTCGTTAATCTATGTAATTTGGAGCGCTTCTATTGCGGGGGCGTGATCGTTGTATTTTAGGAGATGGCTGCCGAAAAATCGTTAGCACCTATGCAGAGCATAATCGTTTTAAGGATAAAAAGTTCAACTCTTACCTCGACCAAATTTACATTCAAGAATTTCTCGTTTCTTCTTCTCGTATTCGATTTTGATAAGATGAAGTTATGATCAATTTTACGCACGGAAAATGTTAGTGATTGGAATATATTTATGCACGTTATATTTTAGTAACAAAGTTCTCATTGTTATTTGAGTAGGTTTAATTGATTTTATTCGGGACTCATTTGGCAAACTTCCATTAATGTGCATTCTCTCATTTTAAAATAACTTATTGAGGAAGCACTTCGATAAATTGTTTAAAAAATACATTTAAAAGTAGTTTTTAAGTTTTTAAAATTCTTATCAAACATACCCTAAATTTAACTTACTGATGGTGCATATCATAAAAATAAGAAGGGTACCAATACAATAATTGTTGAATAACGTGATGGCAGTGGACTTTGGCTTGTTGATGTAAACCATTCTTTT